ACGAAGCCCAGGTGAATCGAGCCGACTCAGCTGTAACTAAGTCGACTCGGTTGGAACCAAGTCGACTGAGTTGGGGCCTCGGGACGAATAGAGCCGAATCGGTTGTTAACTGAGTCGACTTAATTGGCAATCGAGCCGACTTGGTTGGGCTGCGACTTGGATTTTTGAGTTTTAATGACCAGAATTGTTTTAAATTGTATTTAGTCCTTACAGATAGGTTTAATAGACTTAGGAAGATCCCAGAATGCATAATATACCTATATATGCTAAGGAGGTGGATGATTTGGAAATTAAATAACCTATATGTTGTCTAGATTGGATGAAATGATTAATTTAATTACTTTAACAATTGAAATTAATGTTTAAACGATTTCTAAACAATGTTTATGAAATTTTATATTGTTTATCTGAGATGTAGGTTAATTACTTGGAAGGTAAGTTAGTTACATGCTATTTAAACTGTTATATTGCTTCAATAAATGCAATATTTCTCTGTATGATGTTCATTATATTATCTCTGGATTAATTGATGTATTATTATTTTGTTACATCATTTATTGGACAGGATGATTTAATGCACCGGTATGGGACAATGACATTATAGGGATGGATTAACCATGGAAGTTAAGTCCTGTCTATTTATTTATAAGGGAATGGATAAACCATAGAGTTTAGTCCTCCTTATTTATGTCAGACCACTTATCAGATGGATAACATTTTTATCTTATACTTATACAGACTTTATATATATGATTATGGTGTCATGATATGAGCTTGAGTCTCAGGATCATGGTTATGGTGCGTATATTGCCTAGGATGGATAATTGGATATAGTAGACATCTGTGTACCCTGATAGGTCGAGGTACTGATACCCACTTCATGTGCGATTTGCATGTTGCCTTCTATTCAAGTTGAGATAAACCTATAGACCAGTGAGCATCCTATAGTGTGTGTGTGTGTGTGTGTATATATATATATATATATATATATGGACTACTTAGTTATTGTTGAGTTGATTAGGATGTATACGTGTATCGAGTCTTTGTTTGGATTGTAATAGAGTAGAACTTATTTGTGGGCCTGACCCGCTATTATTTTTCAGGTGTTCGACAATTCCAGTCTTAGAGCTTGTTCGTGCTGAGTAGAGACAGTTATTCATTCTTCCGACTACGTAGGACTCTTCCTTATGTTTTAGCTTTGGATTTGATTTCGGTTCAGTTATGTTTCCAGTGGAATATTATTAGGGGTCTACTAGATGGATTCCCGAGTTGTAATGATATCAAAGGTTTTGAATATTATTCATTTAGAGACTTATTTATTATTTAACTTAAAGATTTATTATTTAGTTTCTCTTTCTGCTCTTTTATTTATTCTTAATTATTTATCTTTTGTATTCAATGCTTGTTTATTACTTAATTATTTGATATCTCTCGAGTTTGAGTTTGGGCCTGAACAACTCATATTTCGGATTCGAAGGGTATCACATGGGATTAGAATGGACATTCCATAATTATGAACATGTCATGTCATCAGTTTTGCTGAGATTAAAGTGCGAATAAAGCCATGCATACATAGTGGGTAGTTAAATAGTGATAACAGTCAAACCTTCTCACTGTTGGACGTTGTTTTGAAGATGTTTGGAGAGAAAAATTATTACAGGATTCATTTTTCACATTATTCGGACTTGAACTCCCGACCTTAAGAAGTATCACTGGGTATTTAATTTATGCACTTTAATTTCAAGTACAAAATTTAATAACTATAATTAAAATCCACTAAAGAATGAATTATACAGACTTCAAAATACAATAAAGAATAGTTTGGTATTCACATGAGAACCAAGAAGAGTGGGACATTCGGACATGTAAGCTTACCCTAAAAAAAAAAAAAAAAGAAGCCCCTGACACAACCCGATGCATCATCTGCATTGTAAGTATTTGCATGATTAGATACACCTTGCGTAGTTAACATTTAAAATGTAGAATTTATATATATACATATATATAGATATATAGATATCACACAGTCGGTTAGCATCAATATGCATATTCTAACTCGAGGTCGCTCTCGAGGTCGCTCTCAAGCTGCAAGAAATGTGGACTTGACAATTGATTATAAATCTTACAAAAATATTCATCCAACTTTGAGTCCCTCTCAAGCTGTGGACATGACAATTAAGTTCTTAATGGATAATACTTGGGTCTTTTTATGAGCTTGTGACCTAATACAATTTAGATATATGTCTAAATTTTTAAAATTTTTAATAATAATTATTATCTAACTTTTTACGGGTTAAATCCAAACCCACAATTTTTTCTTTTCCTATTTAAATTTTTTAAAATCCCTCTTTTAGCAAGACTCTCCTCTTTTCCTTCCCCCCTCACTCCCTCCCCAGAAATCTCCATATCCAACCTCCATTTGAAACCCTAATCTATTTACATCAATCAAGTACTCAACTTTTATTCAATATGTACAATTTTATACAAACCAACAGAAACTCGTAAGTGACATAAAATTGCACCAATAGGAATTTGTAGTATTCACAAATTTTTAATCTTTCTTTTTTATATTTTCCACCAATAAGAAAAAGGGAAAAAAAACAAAAAAACCAATTATTAGCCCAATTAATGGAAGGTGTTGGGAACTTGGGAGAGATCTACAAGATTTAGATACCTGTGACCAAAAATAGATTTACAATAAAAATAAATATACTAGAAAAACTTTATTCAAATATAGTTGAATATTAAATTTCTATATAATATTTTATATTCCTATTCCTTCCCTATTCAATACTTGTACATTCTTTAAATAAATTTAGTAATTTTTTAATTTTAAAATGGGTAATGATTATTTTTAGAAATTTTAAAAATTTAAACCTATGTCTAAATCACAGGTAGATGAACTTTATCCTTGGAGGAAATGACCAAAGTATTGTCCGATTTTAAAATGGATAATAATTATTTTTAGAAATTTTAAAATTTTAAACATATGTCTAGCATTGGATTACATCAACCAAGAAATGAACTTTATCCTCCAAAGAAATGACCTGAGTATGGTCCTCAATTATAAAAATTCATCCGACCTACCGACAAGCTAAATGGATAAAAATTTCATGTCCATCCGCGTTCTTAGTCCTCTCTGAATCGTCTTTCCATTTATATTTTTGAGTATATACTATTGATTGTACCATAGAAAGGAAATTGATAATAATTTGAAAGGTTGGTTTTTCCCCCTCAAATGGTAGGTTGAACAACAAAGGAAAACATAAACATGTAGATAAGCAATACAAACTGACTTGCGTGACAATTAATAATTGAGATAATCACTTAGGAGACAAAACATGTACACGGTTTCTCATTCTCAAAACAGTTATAAAAAATGGGTAATGATTATTTTTAGAAATTTTAAAAATTTCAACCTATGTCTGAATCACAGGTAGATGAACTTTATCCTTGGAGGAAATGACCAAAGTATTGTCCAATTTTAAATTGGATAATAATTATTTTTAGAAATTTTAAAATTTTAAACATATGTCTAGCATTGGATTACATCAACCAAGAAATGAACTTTATCCTCCAAAGAAATGACCCGAGTATGGTCCTCAATTATAAAAATTCATCCGACCTACCGACAAGCTAAATGGATAAAAATTTCATGTCCATTCGCGTTCTTAGTCCGCTCTGAATGGTCTTTCCATTTATATTTTTGAGTATATACTATTGATTGTACCATAGAAAGGAAATTGATAATAATTTGAAAGGTTGGTTTTTTCCCCTCAAATGGTAGGTTGAACAACAAAGGAAAACATAAACCCGTAGATAAGCAATACAAACTGACTTGCGTGACAATTAATAATTGAGATAATCACTTAGGAGACAGAATATGTACACGGTTTCTCATTCTCAAAACAGTTATAAATAATTATTTTTGGTGAGTTTTACTTTTAAAAAAAAAGTCCTTTTATAGCTTTAGATATGTTTAGAACCACATTTATTTTAAGCTTTTATTTTGATCCGAAGTAAAAACAAAATTGGTGGACTCTAGCGACTTACAAGTCCGAACCGTTGGTCTTGGACCATATACGCTTCTGAAAATGACCCAATTAAGTTTTTTATTTTTTATTTTTTAATTTTTAATATTTAATTAAGATAAAGTCATTGCTTCAATGATCAATATTCTGGGAAGAGTAAAAGACCAATTGCTTGCGCAATACAAATTGCAATGGTTAAACCACCCCCACACGCACAAACACACACACACAGACACAATAAAACCATAAAGTGTTTAGTGAACCATCATAGTCAATGCCTGCTGTTGACCACTCTCATTCAATTGTCCAAGTCATTACCTTCACAACCACCATGGTGTAAAAAAGCCATCCCCAAAACTGCAGTTTTGGGGACTTTCACTCCTTTTTAAAAAATATCTAACAATAAATAGATAAAAATATCACTAGGTAAAAAATATCAAAAGTTTTCTTTATTTTTTAATTTCATTACTGTAATATTCAACTATGTAAACTAAATACTAATTTTGCAATTTTTTTATAAAGGGTAAAAATAAAAAAAGAAAACTAGAGAAAAATTATTGAAATAACTTAGTTCTTGGTTCCAATTTCAAGCCCTCTCTTCCACCATAAAAACACAATGTAATTTTATTTTGTTTTCAGTTCTGAATAATGCTATTTTAATATTTATTCACATAAATACGGAGTACTATAATTGTTTACAAAATAATATTAAAAGATAAAATGAAATAGTTGTTGAAAAAGAGTTTTGGAGTGAAAAAAGAATTACTGGGCCGGAGTCCGGTTCAAGGGCTGGCTATCAAACCGGTTCGTATTGTCATTCCGGGTCGAATATTTGATGACCCAAGAATTCACGCTTCTCAATGTCTGATAACAAAATTCCTTTCCTCCAAACACAAAATTCTTACAGTAATTTTAACGTACAAAATTCCCCAATATATAATATGTATATATAGATATAACAATACGTCAATATCTAAAATCTTTCTATATATATTTTCCGTGTCTTTCTCTCTGTAGTTTATATGCTTTATCTCTCTAGAAAAAAAGCCCTAAATTCTCGATCCGAGAAAATTTCGGACAATTTCCAAAGTAGGTCCTAACATCGTCTTAGCTACTGACTTGTCATTACTTGCACAATCAAGCTTTGTATATTTTTCTCACAACCACCGTTGAATTACATCACGAAGTAGTCACGCTGTCATGATCAATGGCGAATTGCATCTGCGGTACGAGTTCTCTGATCCGAGCTTGATTGATCACCTGCATGCGCAAGCCATTTGTGTGAAGAATCTATGTGTGTGAAATTAGGGTTTCATTTTGCTGGATGCATAGTATTGGGCGCAGGATAAATGCTTGTTGGAGGGGATCTAGGGTTTTCACGCCTGGTCCTGGTGGTGGTGGTGGTGGTGTTTGCGCCGGTGATCGGCTTCGTAGTCCGCCGGAAATGGCGGCTTGCGGTGGCCAGGAGAGAGGAGATCAAAAGGCTTTTGGTTTTTGCGTCCGAAGAGGCTGCTAGGGCCGAGGTCGAGGACTTCACCAGGTACGTTGCGGCCACACCGGTTTCAACTTCTGGGCAACTACAGTATCAATGTGCCGTTTGCTTTTGCCCCACCACCACGCGGTGTGCACAATGTAAAGCTGTTCGGTACTGGTATGTTGTAACTATGTATTTGGAAATTTTCATTTTATGGTTACATGTTCATGCCTGCTCAGTTAATTTTTGTTTATCGTGTTGATTGATTAGAATTAAAAGTAATTTGGGCTTGTTTTGATCTTGACTTGAAATTTGGTGCACTGTTATACAATAACACCCATGCTGTATACATTTTAGTTTTAGAGATTAACTTGGTCCCTAATATAGAGGAGTATTTGGTAGGAGTTGTTGAAATTGATTAGGAAGGGCCTCGGTACAGTCTACAAGATTCTTGCTTCACATTCAATTTCAAAGCTTTATGTTTTTGCTGAACATATCTTTTGGACTAGAAGGGACAGTACTATGATAGTGGTTAAAAATGATTGCAAGAATTGAAGAAAGAAAATAGGAATATTCTGTTTCCAGGCTACAACTCTACATTGCAGTCTTTGCAGAAGAATCTCAGGGTGTACCAAAACACAATATGACACAATCAACTAAGGAGTAGCACGTCATACTAACAATTTGTCCTAATTAGTAATGGAAATCTGTAGGGTGTGATGCAGTGTGTTTTTAGATAAGTATGGATAGTCAGACAAATATTCTTGGATGTATATGTTCATTTATCACAGTGGTTCATCCAATCATGATGTGCTATGCATGGTGAAGTCTTAATTAATTTTAATTGTGCGCAATCATGTATTAGCTACTGCAACCACAACTTGTGTAAATCAGGAGTAAGAAGGCATTGGTGCAATTATTTTTCCCAAAAATAATATGTTGAATGGATAATTTGTGTGGGGGCTCCATGTGGTACTTCTTTTAGACCCCCTTTTGTAAAATAAAACTGTCTTAAGATGAGGGTTGAACAACCTTCCAGAATAAAGTGTGTTGTTCTGGTAGTGTTTAGTTTTGTCTTTTTTGCACTAATCCTTCTCCACCAACCAGTGTTGCTGCTTGTTTGTTTGAGGACTTCCTCTGCAGTTTTTTTTTTCTGTTTTTTTTTTTTTCATTTGTTGGGGAATTGATTTTATTATTAAATCTCTTTAAAACAAATAATGAGAGAAAAATAGTTGACATAATCTGTCGCTAAATGGGAATTATGTTGTATAAATGTATCCTTTTCCACTCTTATATGCCTGGGAAGGAAACAAACTAGTAAGTTAGTAAAAAAGATGAAAGAGGCACATATAAAAAAAATAAAGAAGAAGATGAAAGAGGCATTGTGATCAAAATTGATAGTGGTTTAGAGGAGAGCTAGATGTTTTGGTGTGAAGATCCAGCGAGCGCTCCTTACTTGAAGTTATCTTGTTTGCTGGAATGCTCAAGAGTTATCACGTCATAAATCCATTATAAGTATTTGTTTGGGAAGCGTGTGCCCTCTGCCTAGCAACTTGTTCGTTACATCATTACATCTCATTTTGTTTTTATATTTGTATGTTGTTGATGTACTATTAACATTCCTGGTTTCATCCTTGTATCCAATTAGGCGCCTGGTAGACAATCACCTTCATGTATCTTTCCTGTCAACTCTAGAGTCTTACCTCTTCAATTTTCCCATGTATACTTTCTTGAACTAACTTTACCTGAGACTGCCTCTCGGGAATTCATGCTTTCTTTTCACCACAATGGGCTATCCTTGTAGTTGTTCTTAGCTGATTCTTACTCATATTTTCTTGTTGTGCTTCTCGTGACACCTCACGTGTAAATTTTCCTAGTTTGTGTGCTTTGGGGGTGTTTGGAGGAGGTATCATAAGATGTGAGCTGTGCACACCTCAAAGGGAAGATAGAACTAACTCCTGATAAGGTAGAATTAACTCCTGATTTTCCATATTTCCAAGCCCCATGGTAATACCCAAATCCGGAGGCCCATCTTCCCTGAGGAACCTTTGTACATTAAGAAATTGGAACATTGGATCATGTTTCTGAATTCTTGAAGAGTGATGTTTGAGGGTTGGAGGGGTGGGGGGAGGGATCAGAAAAGTTGAATTTATGTATGCCTTTTGATATTGAAGCTGATGTGTTAATCAAATACTGATTCTGCAAATCACCAGTAATCTCTGTGTAACTTGTTATTAACGAAGTTCACTTATATAAGATAATTTTTTAACTTAGAATAAGACTATAATGTTAATTAATGATTCCACATGATTAGGAAGAAGCTGTGGTAGTTTGGAATTGCTTTGGAATTTGTATTTATATGCTCTTAGTGTTTGTTAATCTGCAAAGTAGCATGTTTTATATTATCCACTCTCAAATATTCTGCTGTTATTGGGCCTCTAAAGATTCAAATCTTAAATTTGTGTTTCAGCTCTGGGAAGTGTCAAATTATTCACTGGAGGCAAGGTCACAAGGAAGAATGCCGTCCTTTCACTGCCACTTATCAGATCAATGATGTGGAAGGCGGTTCTATTAGTGAAGCGTTTAAGCAAGTAGAATGTGAGACTTATGGAAATAGCTTTGAGCTTGAAGGGGGGCATTGTGCCAAATCTGTTGAAAGAGTCCCTAAAGGGCCTGCATTTTCGAATTCTTATTGCTCTCCTGAAACTGTGCGTGGGGGGGATGATACTAGATTTGGATGTCTTCCAGATGAGAAAGGAACCGGTTGTAGTTCTAAATTTACCACTCCCTCATTCTCTGAGGGTTTTGCTGCATACACTACTTGTAGTGAATCTTCTGTTGATGTTACAGTCAATAGGGTCAGTAGTCCGCATCATCCCGACAGATCAGATGGACATCAGTCAGGTAATATTGTTCATGGCAAGCCTGAGACTACTTGTGTTAGCATGGATCAAACTAGGCAAAAATTTTCGGAGCACTTCACTTCAGTCAATTCTGTAGATAATTTTTCTAGCTCTGGTAAGTTAAATCAGATAAAATCTGATTGTAATGATAGAGATGCTCATTGTGGATCAACACGTTCTTCAGGTTCAACTGTTGATGGCTCTAATGAGTTGTCATTTTCTGAGCCTTCTACACCCTCTTCTGGTTTCTGGGAAGGAACTATTGACACCAGTAGGTGCAGAAATGACGTTCCTGATGATTCTGCTCAGTCTAGCTCCAGTGAGGCTGGTGATGACAGTATGTCTGATTTTCAGTCTTCTGTAAATTTCCACTGTAATATGGCCAGGGATGTTGTTACTCCCTTGCATGTGCAAGGATCTGATACCAAAATCAAATCATATGATGATCATTCAGCTACTTTGGGGATGAAGAAACCTATTGACAGGGCTACTTTATCAGAGGAAACAAGTAAAGGTGCTTTGAAAGCGAGGAACTCACAATCAACAAACTCTGAAACGTCTAATCATGTGGATTGTGACACTCGCAGTGATTCATGTATATTTAAGTCCAGAGAATCTAGATGTCTCTCATCCTGCACATCTCATGCTGATCCAGCTTCCAGCCCTGGAGGGCATTCAGTACGATCAGATGCTTCAAACATCAGTAGCTTTCCATCCTTGAGCACTGGAAGGTCGAATTCTGCATTAAAAAGCACGAGCAGTACCTCGCAAGTATTGAAATATAACGAAGTTGGAAATTTATCATCTAGTGCATCTGATGAGCACATATCTTCTGGCAGTGGAAGGCATTCCATTTCAGGTGTGTCGTCATCTGGAAGGGTTGATGGCGCTCATCCAGTTGCAGCATGTTCTTCCCACTTTGTGAGTTATTCACCAAATGCTACAAATGGATTGAGAACATCAATGAGGAAAGTCGTTGACCAGCTCAGACTCTCTAAATTGTCACGTCCATTAGGGGTTGGGGTTGAGATTGCTGGAAAATACAATAACAAGGTTTTACTTGAATCTTGCTCTGTTTGTTTTGTGCCTACAATATACATATTCTAGGATGTTATACATTGAATTGAATATGTCTAATTTTACAGGGGCTCTTTTCATATGAAGTGTTTGTCAAGTTCTATAATTGGAACAAGGTTGAACTGCGTCCATTCGGCCTAAAAAATTGTGGGAACAGGTAAGCTAATATTGATACATGGCATGTAATTCATTTCTTCATACTTTCTCCTATCAGAGTACAGTTAAATCTTTGTTGGCAATTGAACATCAAGAACTGCATTGCAGTGACTTTGGGATTTTAAAATTATTGACTCTTTGAAAAGTTTGCTCCCTCTCTCTCTTTTTCTGGAGAAGATATAATTTCCACTTAGCCAATGATATAATTTTTATTTTAATTTTTTTGAACTTGCGTCTATTTTGTTTCTAACACATGACCTTGTGCAGCTGTTATGCTAATGCCGTGCTCCAGTGCTTGACATTTACTCCACCTCTCACTGCTTATCTTCTCCAAGGACTCCATTCAAAAACATGTATTGCTTCTGATTATGATCTTTCTTGTGGTTCCACACATGTCAAAATTTTGAATGGTATTTTTTGTTGAATCCTTTATATATATATTGAATAAATTTAATATTCTTTTCTATATTAGGTGAAAAAAAAGGATGGTGCTTCACCTGTGAGTTTGAAAATCTAATTCTGAAGGCAAAGGATGGGAATTCTCCACTATCTCCTGTTGGGATACTCTCTCAGATACACAAAATTGGAAGTCATCTTGGTCATGGGAAAGAAGAAGATGCACATGAATTTCTAAGGTGAGATAATTTTGCATCATTGTTGCCTGGGGCGATTTTATACATTGTGTCATTATAATTCAATAATATACATTGGTTTTGAGTCAATTAAGGAGTGAAATTGGCAGGTATTCTATCGAAACAATGCAATCCGTCTGCCTTAAGGAAGCCGGGGTAAAGGCATCAGGCTCCTTGGAAGAAGAATCAACTCTGATAGGCCTTACGTTTGGGGGTTACCTTCGATCAAAGGTAATCTATGGTTTTTCAGGGATGATTAAATTTAAGAAAAGAAATTTCTCTCTCTCTCTCTCTCTCACACACACACACATATTTCGATACTCGAATCTACAGATTAAATGCATGAAGTGTGGAGGCAAATCTGAGCGGCATGAAAGGATGATGGATCTCACTGTTGAGATAGAAGGAGATATTGGAACCCTAGAAGAGGCTTTACGACAGTTTACCTGTACTGAGATTTTGGATGGTGAAAACAAATACCAATGCAGCAGGTTTGTTTTTATTTTTATTTTATCTTTAACCTGAAAACTCTTAGGACATTTTGGAGCATATTTTGGTATTGCTGTCATATAGTGATGATGTGGTAGTATAACGTTTGTTTTCCAACATATATAACTTTCTTAACAATACACTTAGTATTCTTTTTCTTACTGCACTTTGACTGAGCCACAAAATGCCCAATACTGTAACTTGTATTTATTTGTTGTTTATTGTACTTTGAAATTGGGCCATGGTGCAACAGTGAGGTTGCTCCATTGTGAGCTGGATGTCACGGATTCGAAAAGAAAATAGTCTCTTTACATGTGGAGGACAGGCTGCGTACATCTGACCCCTTCTCAGAGACTGCAACGATGGGAACATTTTGCATTGGGGCTAGTCCTATATTGTACCCCAAAACACATTCCAAATGCCTAAAAGATGACTGCATTTTCAACATGATATAGGCAACTTGAAACATTAAATTATATATGGTCATTTTGGTTGCATTTGTTTGAACTTCATAATTGATTGGTAGGTTCCTAATATGAACAACTGGAGGCCAAACCTCTTTTTAGGATTATAGCTTCAATTCATGGAGGCTTGTCACAATGCTGTGAGCTAGTTGTTAATAATCTTAAACGTAAAAATAAATTGACTCCAAATCATTGTGGTCAATGGTCCTTTTTCTGGCTTTGGCTCTGGATCGTATTCATTTTTATTTATTTGTTTTGTGCATAAGCTTGCCAGAAAACGGGTTTTGTTACTTTGTCTCATTGGCTTCTTACAAGTGAGACACTGCAAATGAACCGAGCTGCTCAAACGAGCCCAGCTCGAGCTCAATTTCTAGGCTCGTTTACTAAACGAGCCGAGCCTGATGAGTGTTAGGCTCGGCTCGTGTAGGCTTGTTTATGTTCGTGAACATATGCTCATATAAGGCTTGTATATGTTCGTGAACAATAGGCTCGTTAAGGGCTCATTTACATCTGTTTTTTTATTTTTTGTTGGAATTTTTTAATATTTGGATGTATAAAATAAAAATGTAATGATTTACTAAACGAGCCTGAGCAAATTTTGAACATTAGTTTAATTTAATTTATTAGCCGAGCCCGAGCTCTTTAATACCATGACGAACCCGAGCCCGAGCTGAGATTTTTGAGCTTGTCACGAGCCTGAGCTGAGCTATATACAAACGAGCCCGAGCCCAAACAGCCTACAACTCGGCTCGGTTCGTTTGTAGCCTTAATTGCAACCACCGCCGCAACCACCACCACCACCACCACCACCAAGCCTTTTTCTCAACTACTTGGGGTCGGCTACATGATTCCTATGTTTCCATTCTGCTCTATTTAAGGCTATAACTTTAGTCAAAGTGACAAACTGCACTGTTAAATAATTGCGTATCAACTCTGTTAATTAATCAGGGCTATCTGAGTCTATGTTACCTGGACTCGCCATTTCAGGCGAAAGTGTCCGTGTCGACATGACACGACACGGACACGGACACGGACACGGGTTATGTGTCGGACTCTCCATCTTCTCTGTCGGACATGGCTGCTCAATCTTCATCTGTTTAGGTATCTCAAGGTATGTTTATGGTGGTGTGGTTATGATTGGTTCGAAATAGGGTTTAGAAAGGAAAGGTTGAAGATGACTTGGTGTCGGCGCCCCTTCTTTTCTGCGTTGAATCTTCACCGCTTGTACCTTTCTTTGTTTTTCAATTCTTTTTGTCTGACATGGTACACGTGGGTGGGCTGTAACCCACATTAAGTTTGTAATAAATAATGGGTTACAACCTTACAGCTGTAACCCACTAACAGTATTTATTACCATTGTTTATTATACCCTGTATAAGCTGTAACTCATGTGGCCCACTGCTTTAAACTAGTATTTATTACAAATAATATAATATTATATAAACTTATACTTCGTAATATGTTGGTTACAGTTGTTACCCACCATCTATATATATTATATATACTACTATTACTTTTTAAAGGATTTCAAATTTTTTTTTAACCTAGTTACCTAGTTACTTTCACAGTTTAACTTACAAATTCAGTCTCTTTTCAAACTATGGACAAGAAGAAAGTATAATATGCATTTTAACATTGTGAGAATACTTTACATGCGGTGTCCAAGTGTCCGTGTCTGATTTTTGGACACTTGAAATTCGTGTCCCCGTGTCCGATAATTTGATAGATAGAAGGATCCGACCTCTAGACACGTATATGTGTCCGACACCCGTACCCGTACCTGTACCCGTACCTGAGTCCGGGTAACATAGATCTGATTTATCGGAAATGGCAGACTTTTATGGTTTCATCGGCTTGTACTTTATGATCCATTTCACCTGAGCTTCTAAACTGGTGTGCTAAATTATGTTAAAATGCTTTAGTCATTTTCACAGATTTGATTCTAATCAATCTCTTTTGCTATCTATCAATTTCAAGGTTGTGCATGATTGGATTTGGGCTGTATAACGGGCTCCTAGATTTTGGAAATGAGGACAAGTAGCGTTTAAGGTTGTTAAAATCGCACCATTCTACGATTCTAGACCCCCAAAACGAGTTAAATCGCATGAAAATCACTCCTTTGGGTAGAATCGGGGTTGAATCGTATGGTAGAATCGTAGAATTGTACTACAGAATCGTAAGATTCTATCGATTCTATATGATTTTACTTTGTGCTTTGTTTGGCCCTTTTTATGGGCTGATAAATTGTTTTGATGGTTGAGCTCTTTTATTAAGAAAGCCCAATGGTCTTGGGCCCCAAAACATTAAATATAAAGATGAGAAAATGTGTGTTCTTTGTTTGTTTGTTTTTTTTTTTTTTTTTCCTTCCTTTTTTAGGTATTTCATTAATTGATTTCTTAGGGTTTTGATATGCAGCATACATGGGCATTTGATTAATTGATTTATGTTCTTGTTTGCTTGTTTAGTTGTTCCTAATTAATTTATGCATGGATATTTCTTATTCTGTTGTTCCTTAATTTTTTAATCTGTTCTATATTTGTTTTTGGATGTAAATTTGTTAATTTTGTTCAGTGTATAATGTTTATGTTCATAATTAAATAATTCATAGAGTTAGTAGCACTAGCATCTAATAAGTAATAATTCATATCTAATTGAATTGATGTTGAAAGTTTAAACTTGATTTGTTGAATATATTAGTAGCACTATATTCTCTTATATATTATATTTGGAGTGGTACTTTTTTACGTTTACTGTGTTTTGGACTTATTGTTGCTGTACTTTAGAGATACAAGTTAGTTTGAAATGTTTTTCTGCTAGTTTGGTAGAATCTTACGATTCTCGATCTGATTCTAAGATTTCGATTCTACGGAGTCCCCAACGATCCTATGTAGAATCCTGATTTTAACAACCTTGGCGTATACTTAAATATTACCTATTTTTTATTTAGTTTATGGTACATGGTCTGTTTTAAATGCGTGAGGTATCATATATTTTAGTAGGGCAGATGTCACCTAGGTTTGAGCATGAGATGTGTACGCCATGTTTTGTTGGATATGAACCAACTAGTATATCTGACTCTTCAAATACTATATATATATGTTGAAGGGTCAGATATACTTGTTGATTCAAATACTATATATTTGTTAAAAAGGAAAAAAACAAAAAAACTTTTGTATTATGTTTCTTTTGTTACATAATTGCTTCAAAACTAGTGACGCACCTATGATTGAAAATTCTGTTACATAATAGCATCCCCTATGTTAAAAATATGGAGATTTTGACCGTGTCCCCATGTTCTTGGGTCTTGTTGGGTGTGGGAATTTGATAATTCTACAGTTGGACGCATGCCCTCACCAAAACACTTATCCAAGTGTATGTAATATTCAGATACTTTCAATTGCAAAAAATGTTAATAGTATCTTTGCACTTTAATGTGTTTGTGGCTTCCATTTGTTTTTTTTTTTTTTATTTTGACTAAAATATGGCAATGATTTTTTTATTTTGACTAAAATATGGCAATGTTTTTTTTTTTATTATTTTGTAATTATTTGTAAAAAAAATTCTGTTTAACTAATACCTAAACTTGTTGCTAAGAAGGGGCATTTATTACAAGCATATGTAATTTATTTATATTCTGCAATTATGTGGGGTTAGGGAGTTTGGATTTGGGCTGCTGAGAAATTCTCATTTCTTTTTGTATTTGATAATATGCATGGTGTCAGTTCATTCTGCTTCTATTTCTTTTACTGCTTTTGGATGGGTGTCTACTGATGTTTTCTTGGAGTTGTATTATTATTATTATTATTAATACTACCTTTGAATTGGATTTTGACTTTATTATCGTAATATTTCTATCAGATGCAAATCCTATGAGAAAGCTAAGAAGAAGTTGACAGTGTTAGAGGCTCCTAATGTCCTTACTATTGCACTGAAGCGATTTCAGGTATATCTTTTAAATCAACTATGGTTTCTTCGTTTTCATGGTTTCTTCAGACTCTTATTGCTAGTTTTCTTTATTTGATTTGACAGTCAGGGAAATTTGGGAAGCTCAATAAGGCAATTCGGTTCCCAGAAATTCTGGACCTGGCCCCATATATGAGTGGGACAAGCGACAAATCTCCAATTTACAGGCTTTACGGGGTGGTGGTTCACTTGGATGTCATGAATGCCGCATTTTCTGGTCACTATGTGTGCTACGTCAAGAACATCCAGAACAAGTGGTTCAAGATTGATGATAGTACAGTATGTTTTTATTTACAGTCAAGTTTGCATCTTTTAGCATGTTTGTATTCCTGCATGTGTTTTCTTAGATTCATGCTTTCATTTTGAAGTATGTTGGCTTTTGAGACTCTTTTACATCATCAAGTGAACTCCTGTGGTGCTATGCCCTATCTTTGTGATTTATTGGGATAAATATCATAAATTTATGCTGTATATGTCATTCGATGAAAGCATTTGATTGATGCTCTGGTTATGATTGGTGTAGGTAAAACCTGTGGAACTTGAAAGGGTCTTAACAAAAGGGGCGTACATGCTTCTTTATGCAAGGTAACAGATTGTGGGAGCCTTATTTTCTTGTTGAGATTTATCCTATTGGTTTGATTTCTAATTAGGTTTATTTTAATATAGGTGCTCGCCAAGGGCCCCAAGATCGATAAGGAATTCAATGATGCCTCATGATCCAAGGAAACCAAGGGATCCTACTTTGAAGTCGAGATCCCACTCTACCGGTCCAAGTGGTGTTTCTTTGCCTGATACTCTGAAAGTTCAGACCACCAATGAACCCTTTAATATGAATCAGACCAATTTCCATCGGATCCGAACAATTTTTGAAGATGACTCAAGTGACAATTCTTCTGCTTTTAGCCGCTCTCACGAAGATTCTTCCAGTACCGATAGCACCAGGGGTTCTACATGCACTGACGACTTTTTAGATCAAATATTCGGTGATTTGGGACATAATTGGAACAGCCCGTGGAGGAATTCTTCAGATTCTGACACTTGTTCATCTTCTTCTTCCTCTCACTCGCCCTCGCCCTTGCCCTCACCCTTGTACTCAAGACATTCACCTCTAACCAACTCGGACCACTATTCTTCAGGATTTCCAGAGACAAGCGGCTCACACTTTTTTAACACAGCGTTGTCTATGGAGGGTCACTGTCTTCGGTCAAGAATACCCAGCCGGAGTAGCCAACAGGAGCATATGGAAAGCAGGGGAACTCTTCCTTTTTTGCATTCTGACCCAACTAGACAGTGTAGGAAGTTAGCTAGTAGTTGTAGGGAGACTAACTCGGAAAATTTCGGATGGCTCAACCCGTTTGATGACATCAAATATGGTGCATCTTTTCGAAGACCACCGAGGGTTAGAACAGAGTAAATTTTTATTTTTTAAGTTTTTGAGTTAAGAGGGGGGAATAATAAATATGGGAAATGGGAAATGGGAAATGGGAGTGGGTTGTATGTATTGTTACTCTTGTTGTTGGCTTTATCAAAAGAAATCAGCCAACATCATTTTGTCACTCTCTTTCCCTTAATATAGTTATATATTCTGTAGTATATGTATCTTTTTTCTCTTTGAGTATTTCTTGGGAGTCCCCAAAAGGGTGCTTTTGCCTGAATACGAACCTGAATCTGTTAATGCTATATTTATATGCAGCTATTTTACTATGTAGTACAGAGTTTGAAAGTCGGACACAACCATACCATTTATATGAGGAATGAAGTCATCATGACATCATCATAAAAAGAAGGTTGGATGTGTCCGACTTTCGAAGTGAGTATCATTTTCCTTTATTGGAGCACATTTCAATTATCTTGGATGAAGTTCCATTTTCGGCAGAATGTGGATCTATTTTCTAATCTGAAACAATCAAAACCACATACTAAAAACCTTTTCCATCAAAGATGTGTGTGTGTGTGTGTTTTTTATTTTTTATTGTTAAGAAAATCCCTCTTAAGAATAGTATATCATGTTCTATTCTGTTCGAGATTTATTTTACAAAAAGAGATTGGGATGTTTGCTAAACATTTCAATCTTTTTGTAAGGTAAATTTTAAACTGGACGGAACATGTCCTACTATTCTATTAAAGAGAATTTGGGTTCGATTTTTTTCTCTTTGGACTTGGTAATTAGGTGACAAGTTATTTTATAAAATAATAAAAATGAAATTGACATTGTCAAATATTAAAAATGGTGGGTGATACCTGAAAGATTATCTAGTTGGTCTAGATAACCCAAATGTAAACATAAAAGAGGTTGAACCTGTCTTGAGTAAAAAAAAAAAAAAAGATAATATAATGATAAGTTGAAACCTCAACCTGGAAAAATTAACTAAATTAGGGTAGTTAAATTATATATAGTATATCTATCACCGTTTTCAAACCTCAACCTGGAAAAATTGATTTATTTAATTGGGGTTTTCGCTGAACATTAACTGCGGGTTGGCATGTTGTACAAATATTATCAAATCGCTAGGAACCATAATTTATGGTCACAAAGGGTGGCTACATAATCGAAAAGGAATCTTTAGTTAATTACTTAATTAAGTCCATAGTGTTGGTTAAGCAAGTATAAAGAAGCTAGAGAGAGAAATTGTGCATTTTACAGTTGGAGTGGATTCTATTTTTCTCTAATTATGCCCACCATTAGGGATAGCAACCCACCATTAGGGATAGCAAGGGGCGAAGTTGGGCGGGTTTGGCTAAATCTTACTCTATCTCGTTAGAAAATCCGTCATACCAACTCTGACCCTACTTCAAAACAGATTTTTAATTGTATACCATCCTCGCCTCTACTCCGGTAGTAGAAGTATCGGCTCCGCCTCGCATAGTGAGGCGTGATTTGCATCTTTTATTTTGTAATTAAAAAAAAACTAGCCCAATGTGTTTAAATTGAGCTGATAAATAAGATGGCCCAATTTTTAAATTATTAAGTAGTGAATATTAATATATTAACTTACACTTCCAACAAAAGTAATATGATTCTTAAAAATATAAAATATATATTTTATATGTATATATATTTTAAAATGTAAGTATATAAAAGGGACGGGGACGGAGCGAGTTCATCACTAAATCCATTCCCGCCCCAAACCCGTTTCGAATTTTCAATTATTTTATCATATCCATCCCAAACTCATTTAGAGAGCAATCAAATCCGCCTTTTTAGGGACGGATTGGGGCGGAAACCCGATGGGTCCGAAGAAATTGCCATCCCTACGCACCATGCACAACTTAAGTGTCCAAACAATGTCCCTTCGACATACTGTTGTGAAGTGCTACAAGTACTAAAAAAAAAAAAAATAAATAAGAAGAAGAAGATTAGTTCAATACATGACATTTTCAGTATTATGGTTTGCCGTATCGCCTGATACATAACATATTGGCAGGTTCGTAAATCATTTTTAATGGTTCGATATTATTACACATTTAAATCGAAATTCGCCTGAATTCGTTATACCGCGACCGATACCACGACTACGAACCATGTCACAATAGATCAACCATATAGTTGTGTTAAGGCCACCCTAAGTACAAGTATTAGCAATGATTTAATCAAAGGGTCTATACTCGCAACAAAGACGATCGAATTATAAAGTTCATTCCGATTGTCAAATTCTTTATACATTATTTAATAGTTTATTTATTTATTTTTGGTTCGGTTAACAACTTTCAGTCTTTTCACACGCATAAACCGCGTTGAGACTCTAGGTCCGATTTAGTTGAATGAAAAGAAAAAAAATTGTAACGAAGGGAAATGATATATTGTGTTTGTACAAAATTTTAAAGGAAAAGAAAAAAAAAAAAAAAAAAATGGAGAGATATAAATTAGAAATGAAGAGTTGGTTATGTTATCTTCTAAAAAATGAGAGGAAATGGAAGGAAAAGAAGTTACAAAGTTTAATGAAACTTTCAGATTGATTTTGTGCTTATTTTTATAAAAAATAAAAATAAAAACAAAATATTATATGAATCTTAGGACATGTTTTTATTCTCTTGGGTAAAGTGCAAAAAACCTCCCTCAACTATGTTTAAATTTGCAAATAATTCCCCTGAACTTTGTTTTGTGCATAAAACCCCTTAAACTATCACATTTAGTTTCTAAATGACCCATTGTCTTACATATTTTTCATTAAATGACCATAGTACCCTTTCTTATGAATTACACTTGATATATTTTTCTTGGTAAAATAAATTATGAAAAAAATTCATACTAATTTGATGAAATATTCTCTATTAAATTTACATAAGTTTGCATTTAATTTTTAAATTAATTATTTAAATAAAAAATCTTAAATAGAAAATTTTGAAACAATTTAAGTAATTTCTTAATTTTCCTGAATATATTGCATTAAAAAGAAGATATTTTTTATTTACGTAATTTATTAATTTTTCATGAATATTGTTTGAAAAAGAAGATATTTTTTTATACTAATTTTTTTTAAAGTGATTATAATAAGTTAATCATTTTAGAAAATGATAACTACAAATTTATTTATTTTTTTCCCATTTTATAATCAATTGATACTAATTATAAAATTAAGGTAAATGGTATAATTAATATTTAAATAAGAGAAAATATAATAAAAAATAATTTAATAAGAAATAAAAAATTTAATAACAAATGATAAAATAGTCTTTTGTGATGGGTTTGTCATTAATTGCAACAAATCAATAGTTTAGAGGGGCAATCTTTAGTTCAGGGGGGTTAGTTGCAAAAAGTCAATAATTCAAGGAGGCTTTTTGCACTTTACCCTATTCTCTTTAATCATTTCTTCTTCTTCTCTTCTTCTTCTTCTTCTTCTTCTTCTTCTTCTTCTTTTTTTTTTTTTTTTTTTTTTTTAATTTATTTATTTATTATTATTATTTTTTTTCCATTTTGGCTTGAATGATGTTTAGCATACTTTTTATATTTATCTTACCATTTTTTGCATAAATATTTGTCTTTTAAATGTGAAAAAGTATAATAGTAAATTTATTAAAATGATTTCCTTTTCGTTCTTTCCCAAACATAATTATAAGTGTTCATACCATCATTTTTTTCTTTTTCTTTTCCCTCATTCAACGATCTTTCTCCGTTGGACTTCGATCTGCTAATAGCGCGACTCACGAAGTTACTCATATGCTCTCTACTGTGTTTCCCTATCTCAAGTTATTCCTTCTTGTGTGAGAAAAGTTCTTTTCGTTGATTCTTCTTTTGTTAATTTCTCTCCCCACTAATGTTATCACTTCATTTCTTTCCCTGCACGTTATAGCAAACATAGCATACCCATTGAACTTCCCATTTGGCAAGGAGAGGTTAACCATCAATAAAGGGTGATATCATATTATACAATGGAGTTGACAATGTAATAAATTAAAGTTTGATAATAGCTTTGTTTATAAAAGTCTTATACTTGCTTTTTGAACCCTTAATTTATGCCTACAAAGCAGTGTATTGTTAATCATCTGAACTCGTCATACAAAATCATGTAATGTGTAAAAAAGTCAAAGTACTACAAAATATAATAATGGGGGTGGTCAACCTGATGAACGGTGGTAGTCGGTAGAGATTTGAATTGCAAGCAAAATAATAAGTATTTACAATGCGATGATGAAAAATGTTATGGAGAAAAAATGAGATCAATTGTGTCGTGCATAGTTAAAGTTTGTTGTGATTGCTTAAATTCATTGTATTAGTGAACAAAACTATCTTTTATTTTAAGTTAGTGTCTTGCAAAACCCTTGCGAAATGCCAAAAAATAAAAATTAAGTTTGAAAACTATTTAGGATTATATACCAAATAAACATTCTTCCACAATTAATAAAATTGCAACAAATAAACATTAACATTCTTCTTATAACAAGGATAATTTTGTACAAGGATAAAATAGTATTTTTGTATTATAAGCGGGCGAATGGCCCCACCCTGCACCAGCGCAGATTTTCACTATAAAGTCCATCCTCGTTCAAAACGATTATGTCTTGTCGATAGGAAGGAAGGGAGGAAGAGGTGTAGAGGGGAGTTACGGCCAATCTATTTCACCGTTTTAAATGGGACGGGATGGGGCGGGTTAAATCAGAGTTGGGCCCACTATCATCAGACAATGCCACACGACAACCACCTGGATGGAGTTATGCAATGCAAGTGAATAAACAATATAAAATGAGATGCATCACCTGAAGTATGCTTCTGTTATGGATCACCAGTAAAACACTCACAAAACGTTGACCTAATTTAAAAGTTAGTTAATAACTTAATATAGTATCACCGCCCAAAACACCTTACCCTAACCGCTGCTATATAGTATTAAAAAATGGCGGCAACAACATTAAATTAAAACCTAGAAAGTTGACATCCAAGGAAGGAAATTGCTATAAATAGGCTTAGACCATGGCCTCCCTCTTCACCATCCCAAACACTGCAACATAACTAAGCAATATACAATACCAACAATCTCTCACTATCTCTCTATTCTTCTCTGACTTCTTATTTACTTCAATGGCGATTCCTGTGATTGACTTCTCGAAGCTCAACGGAGAGGAGAGAGCCAAGACAATGGCTCAGATTGCTAATGGCTGCAAAGAATGGGGATTCTTCCAGGTACCTGCACGCATTTTAAGCAATACTATAACTTATAGCATGCTAAAGTACACCCAGTGACCTAGTTAGTAGAGCGCCCAACTCTCTGAGCGAGTATGCCCGTGTTCATGATTATGTGATATAACATATAATGATCATGTAATGCCATAACAATGATATAATGTCAAACTATGTAACAATATTTGCAATTTCCTTAGCTTTACGTACGGATCTCGGAAAAGATAGCAATGCATTCAACATTGTACTAATAGATTTTGTGTCTTTCTATTTGTCACAGTTGGTGAACCATGGGATTTCAGAGGAGCTTCTCGAGAGGGTGAAGATGGTGTGCTCTGAGTGCTATAAGCTGGAAAGAGAAGAAGATTTCAAGAACTCGACGCCAGTCAAGTTGTTGAATGATTTGGTGGAAAAGAAAAGTGGCGAGAAGTTGGAGAATGTGGATTGGGAGGATGTCTTCCTTCTCAGTGACGACAACGAGTGGCCATTGAAGACCCCAGGATTCAAGTAAGCATCCTAACAATTAATATCAACCTAATATGATTTTCATCCAAATTGATCATTTATCCCCATGTTTATCATAAACGTTCTTGTTTGGTTGCCAAGAAAATCGAGAAAAAGTTTCAAGGTACTTTTTTCATAAACTAATTCTATCAGCAACCCAAGCAAGCATGAATGGATATAATTCCTTGTCCATTACATACAATACTAAAAGCTGATGAGGTGTTTTTTTATTTATTTTTATTTATTTTTTTTTATTGGTATAAGTAAGAATTATATTTTTAAATATATATTTTTGTTTCAGATTAGATTCCCTAAGATCTAATATATAGTCAAAAACTTGCTAACAAAAAATAATCAAACTTGGAGTGTAATTTCAGTAAAATGCTTCAATTTCAATATAATAATTTTATAAGCATCCACTAATTAGTATCAGGTGACACGATCCATAAATAATTGAAATTCTTTTAAGATTTCATGTTAAAAAGTATGTGGTATATATAGCAAACATGATTTATACCGTCTGACTTCTGAACATAAATGATAAACAGGGAAACCATGGCAGAATATCGAACTGAATTGAAGAAACTGGCAGAAGTGCTCATGGAAATAATGGATGAAAACTTGGGCTTACCAAAGGGATACATTAAGGCGGCTTTCAACGGCGGAGGAGGACAAAATGCCTTCTTTGGCACCAAGGTGAGCCACTACCCACCTTGTCCTCATCCGGAGATGGTGAATGGACTCCGAGCTCACACCGATGCAGGTGGTGTTGTCCTGCTCTTCCAAGATGACGAGGTGAAAGGCCTTCAGATCCTCAAAGACGGGGAATGGATTGATGTCCAACCGCTACCAAATTCCATTGTCATCAATACTGGTGACCAGATTGAGGTCTTAAGCAATGGGGAATACAAGAGTGTTTGGCACCGGGTTCTGGCCATGCCCGATGGGAATAGGAGATCCATTGCCTCGTTCTACAATCCATCACTCAAGTCCACCATAGCTCCTGCCCCACAACTGGTCCAAGAAGTGAACAAAGAGGTGGAGCAGTCTTACCCCAAGTTTGTGTTCTGCGACTACATGTCCGTTTATGCAGAGCAGAAGTTTCTCCCGAAAGAGCCAAGATTCCAAGCTGTGCGAGCCATGTAAAAAAGGGACTAGCTCAGTGCACGAGGCTCCCGTCACGATGTGGTCTGGGGAGGGTCAGATGTTGTGTTGCTTTTTTCTTTCTATGCAGTGGTGTGTGCTTAATTTATTGTAATGGTCGAATTTGTTTTATATATCATATGAATTGTACTTTTCAATATTATTAGCTATGTGTTCATAGGAACTGCTTTCGAGTTTCGGATGTCTTCTTAGAGAGTTAAAAACTGGGCGCCGCTTTATTTCTTAATCATAGGGTAGATGATCCTGACATACAGTAAGTATATGAATAAAAACCTAAACGGAACACTGGAATGCAAGTAATTGAGAGATATATACAGTGAAATTCAGTATCTTGTTTAAAAAAACAAGCCAAGAATGGGCAGGTTGTGACATATATTCTGCAGACCATCCAGAAAACAAACTGTTTTCTTTTTTCTTGCTAGGCATGTCAACTGTTCAGAAAACCAGACATCGAGGGCTAGTCGAATCTCGGAGTGAATTGGCCAGCAGTAAGTTCAACCAGTAGTTGACATAAAATCCTAGCATGAATTGGTGAAAACTAAATGAACTTAAGCAGGCTACATCAATGGCATGGCCTTTATGGAAACACAGGTAAGTGAGGCTCTCGTTGAACTATTGTTAAGTGCTGCAGACACACATACATGCATTGCAAGTCTAGGGCTGTAAATGAACCAAGAGAGCTTCAGTCTTTTCCGGGATCGGTCAATTCGTTTGTGGGTTCAGCTCGAAATTGACTTGGAATCATGATGAGTTCAAAAGCTTGAGCTCGGATTTAGCTCGTCACTGTTTTGAAAAGCTCGGCTCACCAACAGGCCTATGGCCTAGCGGTACCAGGCCTTTACTACTCAAAGAGAGGTCAGGGCTTCGAGCCTCAGTAGAGGCATGTGTGTGTGAGTACTAATTAGGAAAAAAAAGAAGAAGCTCGGCTCATTTAATAATTAGAAAAGGAACATATTCAAATTTGGATTCGGTTTGAGCTCGTCCAAGATCACTGTGGGTCATAAACTTATACAAATACTGTTCATGAACCAATACAAGCTTATGTTTCATAAACCAATGTTTATGAACACACATGACCCTACACAAGTTAAGTACTCACGAGCCGAGTAAAAAATTTCATGATAGGTTCGTTTACCTAACGAATTCAAACATCTAGATCGAGCTCAGATTGTTTATTTAATGAACAAGCTCGAGTTGAGCTTTAAACAAATCGATCCCAAACTGTTCATAAAAGTTCGGTTCATTTGCAACCCTAGTTGATATAGACTATTAAACCACCCAATGTCTAATTCAATCCCTTTATATATAGATTTGACAAAGGACATGCAATTTTTATAATATGATTAAGAAAAAAGTCATAAACTTAAAAACAAATAAGGTTGGAAGTCCATTCAGCTTAAAAGGAATATATAAAGATGGAAGTCAATTTCCAAATCACCAATCAATTAGAAGTCAATATTTCATTAATCAGCCATTGTAGATTTGCAGGTTTGTTTCTCATTAATAATAGAGTTCTTCTTCTTCAACACTCTTTCAAAAGGGACCTTTCACCAATTTTTCTTCATAAATTTCCAATATAGGCGCCATGACTATTACCTAGCATTGGTCCCACCTGTAAGGGATGCTGGAGAAATCTTTGGTAATATTTTAACCACAAAGTGGGTAAATGTGTATTTTCACCTAAAATGCAGAGAGATTGACCCTTTTTTTTTTTCGGCTAAGTTTTCAGGGGAGGTCAGGGTAATTTAGCCTATTTGGGATTTATTTGCATATTCTTCTTAAGCCATAGAATTACACCATTGGACTTCTACCGGAGGTTCTAACCATCAATTAATTATATGTTTGGAAGCATCGAATTGACGGCTTAGATTTGAAATTAAAAGAAATTAAGTTAAAAATTTGAACTAAATTTCCTCTGATTTCAACTTCAAAGTATCAATTCGGTACTCCCAAAAGCAACTAGGGTTTTTAACATCTAGAACACAATAATAGCTAAAATATTCAATGATTTAATCCTAACATGTTCATTCACAATTTTGCAATGGAAGTCCATTGAAATACGCACACTTAGTCACTGGCAGATCCAGCGTAGGGCTGGGCTGGGCTCCAGCCCATCCCAAATTTTTTTATTTTTTATTTTTTATTACTATGGGTATTTTTAGCCCAGCCCAAAAAAAAAATTATTATTAATATTAGCCCACCCAAATAAGCCCAAGTCAACTAAGCCACAATACTAAAATAAAGGCCCAAGCCTAACAAGCCCTATTAAGGATGAGTATTAGGATATGAAGTAAAACATATTTTGAGATAAAATTGTTGTAGAGACCGTTCTGAAATTATATATATAGCATAAATTCATAATTTCAACATTTTCAAATCATCTTGAAAAATAAGCAGAGCACCTATGTTTATCTAGAAAGTATTCAACAAACAAACAAAAAAATCTAAACTACTAAAATTTGATGATTTTGATCTCTCATAGACAAGGAGTATTAGTATAAAAGAAAACATCTAAATCCAATAATTCACAAATCAAAGGTTGCTAACTTACTACAATTTAAATAAAACAAATATAGATGGGTAAGTGTTAGAATTTCAAATTAATTTATAAAATAAAACCTTAAAATAAAAATTACAATAATTCAATCTTTAAAATCAAAAAAAATTATAAAATAAAACCACAAACAAAAATTACAATAATTAAATCTTAAAAACCCAAAAAACCAAATATGAAACGTGTTAAAACATAGCACGATGAGAGATGAATTACCTTATTTGAAAAATTGACTTGGAGTCTATTATCAATGAATTCGAGTATTTAAAGACTCATCAAATACAACTTAGATAGATATTTTGTAATATTTGAATTCAAATATTTATCTAGATTATGTTATAAAAAAATTTGCTTAAGAAATTATGTTATTAAATTTATGTTTAATTTTAGCCCACTCTATTGTCAATTCTTGAATCCGCCCTTGCACTTAGTATCAAAATCAGCAATGCCAGCCACCAACAAAAAAAAAAAAAAAAAAAAAAAAAAAACCAAATCTTCAGGTTTTTCTGTGGAATACACATATAATTTGCATGTACAGATTATACAGAAGGAACCCAGAAAACAGTGAAGTGAGAGAAGTAAGAAAATCACAAACCCATGCTCACGAAGGGCCTCGAGAGCTCCGCACTGGCAATGAACTCAATACGACGACGTTCAATCAACCCCCACCACCATTCTCTGCAACACGAACTCGAAATAAAACCCTGAAATGTTGGTGCCTCTGAGTTTGCTTTGACAATGATTTGTTTCATTAGTAGCGCTAAAGGCCTTGGCTACGCTTCTTGTTTCCTGCTTTTATTTTAACCGAATTAGCAATAATACTTTTCGAAAACATTTTCGGTAATGTTATTTTGTTGTAAGATTTTTTGAAAGGACATACATTTTCGGTAATTTACTTTGTTGTAAGATTTTTTGGAAGGACATGTAGGATTTGTTTTACTCCAAAACACAAATTTAGTGTTTCCAATATTAATTTATTTTTCAAAAATATTTGGTTACTATTTAAATCATAACTTAAGTTACCAAATACAATTTCATGTTTTGCTTGACTACAAAATTGTGATAGTCTTAGAAATCATTTTAATGGTATATAATTTTAGTTATATCATGTGTAATTTGACTCATTTATTAAATAAATTATGCAGATTATGTCCACTCATAGAACAGAATAAACATACAACTCCATACCAGTGTCTAATTTAAAAACGGAATTTGTCCAAATTTTAATAATTAAAATGTGTTAGATTTAGGTTGGATTAAACTCGAATAAAATTCAACCATTTTCGAATAATATATTTTTTTCAAAAAATGAGTTATTACATTGACACTGTTCACATAAACTTTTCATACATAATAAAGGTTAGTTCATTTGACTCTTATTTCGTAACTAACACTTCAAATTGACACCATCAGTCCGTATTTTGGTTTGAAACAGTTTTTTCTTTTTTGAAAATTTAAAACAATTGTATATACGGTGCAAAAAACACCCTCATGCTATATAAAATATGTGCAAAAAACAAGTACAAAAATATTAAACATTTACAAATACAGGCATATTTTCCTCTAATACCTGTTGACTGTTAATTTTGACCCAATTTTTTTATATAAAAATTCCAAAAAACCCTTAATATATATATACACATCGAGAGAGAGAGAGAAAAAGAGATATATACCCTTAAGAACTGAAATTATTATTTTTTAATATACCCTAAAGAACTGAAATTATTATTTTTTATTTTGCCTTAAGGTCATTTTAGTTGTCGCAGTATTCAAATTGAAATCATTATAACCTGTGGTTGGTGTTTTGTTTTTGTTTTTTGTTTTTTGTTTTTTTGTACTTTAGGCTTGTACAATATACATGTAACATATTTCCAATGAGCCCATATAAAAAGGCCCAAGCAACATGCTGAGCAAGAACAAAAGTCATAATTGGGCCTTAAGAGGCAGCCCAAGTAAGGAAACCTAACTACCATTTGAAACAAGCCCAAAAGTTGGCCCAATAATCCAATCAAGACTTACAAATTAGAATAGCCGTTACCAACAGTATATTATTCTTAATTTGCATTAAAACGTAACCAGTCTCTTTCTGTGAATCAACAATGCATATAATTTAATATCAGATGCAACACCTCGTTTCTTAAAATATATAAAAAAGGATATATATATATATATATATATATATATATATATATCTAATCACACACACATATATATATCAGGTATATAGGTCTCCAAAGCCATAATGCACAACCATAAAACAATTATTAATATAGGGACTTTATATATAACTTCCCAACTTCTTCTCTTCTCAACCATAATCACTCTGCAGCACAAAGAGAAAAAAACTCATTAATCTATAGCTCTTTGGAAATAACGTTCACTAACTATTACACACACACACACACACACACACACACACACACACACATATATACATATACATAAATGATCTTGCACGCCGTTAGTAAGAAACTTATAGTGATATTGAATATGATTGTCATATATTTTTTTGGTAACTACGTGTTCTTACGGTCACCATACTGAATATGAATATGAAGAAAGTTTCTTATCGGTGTGCAAAAGATCATATATATATATATATATATATATATATATATATATATATATATATATATATATATATCATGATAAAAAGTAAAGATAATGATGGATTGTTACCATATATAGCCTGCAGGGGGATGGAGAGTGGGGTCTTGAAGGTTTGGCTGAGAAGGTTGGAGACGATACGGCGGGTAGAGCTGAAAAGGGAGGTTTTCAGGCTGCAGCTGAAGCGCACCACTGGGCTGCTGCTCTTCTCCATAGAAGGGAAACTCATGATCCAACACTTGCTGCTGCTGCTGCTGTCCCATTAGCTTCAGTTCCGTCATCGCGTGCTGATGAATCTCCAGATCTGCTTCTTGTTGCTTCTGAACATGATTGCTCATCAGCTACTTGGAGCAAAGTACTTGTATTTGTTAGTTAATTAGTATCTTATCAAGATAATTAAAAAATTTACCATGTAAAATTAATTCATCATAATAACATTAACATTAGATGCAAAATATTGATTATTGGGATGTACTGGAAATAAGTAAAGATCATTTTGATATCAATAATTAAATTTAGGATTGTTTTCACTAAAAGAATTTTTACATAATTATTACATGGTTAACATATACTACTTATATATAATAAGCATTATTTTTTTTTTTGGTGATTACTGTACTCACCCAATGGTACATATCTTGATTTTCCTTCTCCAGCATTTTCTCCTAAGGATTAAAAAAGCAAGAAAAAGTCAAAATTCAATGGTAATAGATACTATATATGTGTGTGTGTATATATATATATAGAGAGAGAGAGAGAGAGAGAGAGAGTAAAATTACCGTCCTCTGAAGGTTGTCCAGCTGCTGCTGCAAGAGCTGGAACTGTATGAGCAACCATAAATTAAAATTAGGTAATGTAAACTCAAATCGATTCTTCCTACGTGCAAACAATTCTTTAGGGGCCACGTCGTTCAAAACTTTACCCGACTATGTACAGTTCTTTCTTTTATAGCCTCACCTTTTTACGGAAAACAAACTTATTCACAAAACCCAAGCTACAGCACAATGATAATTGTAGGACGTACTATTGATTGCAATACATCTATTATTATTTTTTTTTCCTGACCATTTTGAAATTGTATAACCGTGATCATCTCAACTAATTTAAAGACATTTATAATGTGGTTAGATTGTTGCTAAAAGTCCAAAATGGAGGTGCAGAAAGCTTAATTAAAATGTGAAAAAAAAAGGAATTATAGAAAAAATAATAATAATAAAAAAATGTACCTTTCGAGCTTGAACTTTGTTGAGTGACTGTTCAAGCTGTCGCTCAAGTTCATCCAGATCATTATACCTCACAGAACTCAAATCTCCCTTATAGCATTGCAGACTTAACTCAAGATGATGTGTTTCCTTCCTCATCTTTGTCATCTCTTTGAATACTTCCTCCTACAATTTATTTGTGAGGAAAATAACAAGAAAATAAATAAAAACTCTAAAACTCTACTTTGTTTATCCAAGCCACGTACTTTTAGACTTAATTTGTAGATAATATGTGAGATTGGTGAGACTGTAATTACCCGGCTGTCACGCTCAGGGATACGAGTTTCTGTTACCCTCAAGTACCTTTCTATGATTTCCCCCATGCTAAAAATGCAAAGAAAAAGAAAAATTAATCAACTTAATTAATGAGTTGTAAGATACATGAAAGACAGCAACTCATGTATACCAGATATGAACATTCATAAGAATAATAAATAAATAAATAAATCAAGATGAAAGGTGATGAAAGCTAAATCATTTATCACCAGCAGTGTGAAGTTGCTCGTACAAGATATGTTCCAACAATTTTTTTTTTTTTTTTTAATTCACATTTATGCAATTGCTTAAATTTTTGAAGAAAAAAAAATAGTTTTTTCCCAGTAAATGAATTATATCAAGTTTTACAGTGAGGAGAAAATTTTTAAACAAATTAATTATGATTCTGGCTTTGGCCTCTTGTATATATGATAGATATTTTCAATTAGTCATAAATATTCTTCATACCAGAGAATAAGAATTAGTAAATTTTTTCTTCTTTTTTATTTTTTATTTAAGCATAGGGTATGATTGAATTGCCATACCTACATATTATAATTATCGGATCATCGATCTACAGATATAACTAATCAAGCAACTTGTCACAAAATTGCTAGCTAGAGGCAAAACTAAAATTAAGGCAAAAAAATTCATATATAGAAAAGGTAATTAAGAAACCCTAAGCAGAAGCAGGATTAATTTTCATGTCCTTTTTCAATCCATAGATTTTCACATCATGAAAAATGCCTCATAAATTTCAGCTGTGTCAAGAAACACACACACACACATCATGAAATAAGTCCACTTGCACAAAGAACACAGTAGCATACACCAATATATTGAGAATTAAAAAAAGAAAACTGAAAACCCCTTTATCAAATTACACCAAAGAATTAAGGAACAGATAAATAAAATAATCTGAGAAATGAAGTTGTAGAATTAGACCTCAGTGGATGAGTGCAATACTCAAACAGCTTCCCTTTGGTTGAGAAGATGATGAGGCCGATTTGGGCGTCACACAACACAGAAAGCTCATGAGTCTTCTTTAGTAGCCCTCCCCGACGCTTGGAGAAGGTGACTTGCCTGCTAGTGCTGTTCTCAATCCTCTTGATATCTATCTTTCCCCTTCCCATAATTGTCCAACACGAGCACTCCAATATCTTGTTTCCCAGTTATAGGATATACAAATAAAACCCTTTTCTGTGCTTCAATTTCCTAGTTTATATGAAAAAAAAAAAATCAATAATTAACCCTAAAAAGCCCCAATAAAGCTCCAGCATATATATAGGCGATGATTTTTGGTAAAAATTATATATAGAACACATATATATCTTAATTAGGATTAATTAGTTGTTAAAACAAAGAAGACTAGCTTGCAGATATATATAACAAACTTGTCATCAGAAAAGATCACAACACACACACACACACACACACACACACAGTCCCAGTTATAGGAAACACAAAACCTTTTTCTGTGCTTAAATTTCTAGATTTATATGAAGGAAAAAAAACCCAATGATTAACTCTAAATGACACAACAAAGTTGCAGCATATAGGCAATGATTTTTTGGTAAAAATTATAGAACACACATACATCTTAATTAGGATTGAATTTATAGAACAAAGAGACTAGCTTGCAGATATGTACATTAGAAACAGATCTAAACACACACACACACACACACACACTCATAGAGAGAGAGAGAGAGAGAGAGACTTTGTTTACCTATTATTTCTTTGCTTTCTTGCAGGATTCAGACTCTCTGAATTATGAGCTGATCATCTACTCCCTATATAGACTACCTTACCTCCTATATATAATGGCCCATCTTTCTTGGTAAATGACTTAATATGGAGAGAGAGAGAGAGAGAGAGAGAGAGATTATATGTCTGTGCTTTCACACGTACGCGTGTTTGGTACGTGTATGATACTTAGGATCATGTGGAAGAGGTTTTGTGATTGTACATGATATATATCCACACACTTGCATATATAATATATGCTGTTTTGTACTGTATCATGATTAATGCATGGTGGTTTTTTTTTTTTTTTTGTTTGATGACTCAGGAACTCTCCCACTTAGGGCCCCTTAGGGACCCACCGTGGGGGACAAACCGGGGGGTGGAGCCCTACCCAAGGACTCCTCCGGGTGAGTCCGGGAACGCAGAGGTTAGGAGTCGAACCTGGGCCCCTTCTGTGAAAACCCAAACTCTAACTATCACTACTACGTCCCCGGGGCATGATTAATGCATGTTGTTACGTGAGTAATAAACATATATAGTACATACACATATATGTAATGCTATACATATCAAACAGACTCAAGATAATCTTGCATTTGTGCTTAAAGAAGTTGAAGTAAGAAAAAAATCATGATGGGTGCTTTTAAAGGGGACCAAATGGACGTTGGATGCTATTAATCCAACGGTACTGAGTGCTCAGTCCTCAGAGTACTGTGTGTTCATGCATGGGTAAGAAAATGATATACAAACCTATATTTTGTATATATATTTTTTTTCGGTAAATTATATTTTGTATATATTACTTTAGGGTATTGTAGTAATTTAGTCTGATCCCACAATTTGATTGTTTTGTGGTTTGCTAGTTTGCTACTTAAGTTTTTTACATGTTACAGCAACACAACACTCGTATTTTGGTGACCAGATGATCAGTGATAGAGAAAATGGACGGTGTAGATCGATCATGTAAAGATCTTGCTATCATGTGTTGCAATGAACTTTCATGCCATTAGTGGCATTACTTTAAATCCATGAAACAAACATTCCTATATTGTCCTTTTATATTATATATGTGTGGGTGTGTGTGTGTGACAAGATGTTGTTGCTGTTGACATCTAACCACCACTGCCCTATCTGCCAAAGCTACCTTCCTGAAATTTGCCAATTTTAGAAAGTTTGAATTGTGGTCACTGGCCATAGATCTAGGGTTTTCTTTAATAAGAATTCAAAGAGGTGTGGCCAAAGACTTTAACACTAAAAAACAAAATACAAAAAAAGAAAAAAAAAGAGCAGTGGAATTCTTAGCAATGACGGTGATGGATGATGAAGTGCAAGTACTGGTTTTTACACATGATCACCAGCAGACTCAAACTTGATTAATTTTCTTGTGCCAGGTTCAAGATCGAAAACCCTAGTCTAACACTTGCAATTCATCTTCACTTTGAACATTTTTCTTCTTGATAGCTGCAATTAATTAATGAACACCCCTAATCAATCTCATTTGAATATGTATATGTGTATAGATATACATATTTCACTTTTTTATTATATATTTCACTTTTTTTATTAATGGACACCCCTAATCAATCTCATTTGAATATGTATATGTGAAGAAGTTAGTGCAAGAATTCTTCAATAATCACAAGTTTAATTGCTAGGACACTATGCAAATGGTAATTACACAGAAACTAGCTCATTTTCTTATGAAATTATAGACACATATAAAGCCTTTGATTTAAAAAAAAAAAAAAAAAAGAAAGGTTCCATAATCATTGGGTAAATTAAATTGCAGTTATTGGATTTTTCATTACTTTCAAACACAAATTTGTGTTTGGTTAGGGTTATTTTTCTGCTATACCAGTTGGTCATGGAAAGATCACATATTTAAAGGAATAAGCCAATTATCTAAAAAAATCATGCTCTCTCATTTATTTTTCAAGTACTCCTTTTCTAGTCATATTTGAAATCACTTCAAATCAATTTTGTGATTTTTGTACCTTCCCACATGATTGGAATCCCTTATTGGTTGGACTTATGGAATGTGGTTTTTGGCTAAGGGCTCCCCTAAATTTCCCATTTCCAAGTTTTGGTGGGCTTCTTTTTTATATTATATTATTTTATTTTATTTTAATTTCATTTAATTAATTAATTAGCATGAGAAAATTAAACGACAGAGTATTTTAGCAATTCTCGTTTTTCTCATCTTTCTGTTATCTCTTCCATTTTTGAAATCATTAGACTCCCCTTTTAAGGCCGGTCTCGATAAGAAACCAATGCATTTGGTGGGGGTGGTCAGAGGTTCCCAATAATTTCTCGTAAATTACAATATTTTTAATTTACTAAAAACAAATTAAAAAAAAAAATCATGTGTAAAACCCCATTAAAACAGAAATACTAGAATTTTTTTATTAGAATCTCTTATATATACACATATTTTAGTTTAATATCTTCCTTGAAAAATCTTTACCCAAAAAAGACGAGAAAATAAAAATATTATAATTGGTATTTATTTATTTTTTTTTTCCTAGCATCAATTAAATAATAGATGTCTATGAATTGTTTATTATTATCCTCTTTTGTTTCTTTTTTGCTTTGACCTCTCTATTGACTTGAAGAGGGTTTAGTCTGTGAAATCCTCATTGTCTTCTACCCAACTCTAGTTAGACAACATATGGTCCCCTAATTTAGTCTTCCATAGTCAACAACATAAATTTTAACCTCCTCCTGCATTCAATGGCCAAACCTATTCACTGAACCCATACATGCATCTCTCTCTCTCTACATATATATATATACCCTTTTGGTCAATAGACACATGACAGTGGGGTTGAAGTCATGATTAATAAAAACAGAACTTCAGTAGTAGGAATAATAAGAACATTATGTATACTTAAAATGGCTAACTGTGACTTGTGATGGACCAGGTAAGTTTCACGTCCATTTCATGGCTCGGACTCAGATTCACATGGGCTTCGCAGGACTCTCAATGCTATGATACAACTCTCTGTGTGTGTGTTTTGTGTGCGTAAGGGGAGGATATCTACTGTTGCTATCTTTGTCATGCTAAAAAGTAATTCATGCATACATATATACATACTACATACATCTGTATACAGATAGATTAGCATATATTATCAGAATTCAAACCTCTTGGAGTTATCTATCATTTAAGACCAAAGAAGGGAATATATAAATAAATAAATAAATAAATATACACACACACACACACACACACACACACATATATATATATATATATATATATGTGCCTAACAAAGAGGCCTAATATAACTTTTAGACTCTGACCAAATTTCACTGACAACCGGCCTAACAAAGAGGCCTAATATTACTTTTTAGAAGCATCAAATGATCAAAATATGATGATGGTACGGGAAAAATCCGTCTAAAATTCCTATTAATTTTTATTTATTTTTTATTTTTTATTTTTTTATTTTTTATTCCTAGCATATTTTTTCTCCTCTCGTTATAATTTTTTTTTTTTTTTTTTTTTTCATCTTCTCCACAGTTATAATTTACAATCTCACTCCAGAAGAAGATTTTGAATATACTTATATTCTATTAAAGAATTTATTGGAGCATTAGACCAAATTATTATAAATCAGTTTTTATTATTCTATAACTTAAATTAGTTTATAGTTTTATTAATTTTTGTTATCATAAAATTATATATTTTGTTTATAATTTTTATTTATATTATTAAATATGACTATTAGAAAACACATACCCAAGAATGGCAAGGAGGCAGATTCTCCAATCTCCAGAGAGAGAAATTGAATGGAGGAAGCGAATTTTCCTGCAATTAAAGATTCAAATAATTAATAATACATATTTAGTGTGTGTATATATATATGTGTGTGTGTATGTGTTAGAAAAAATAATGGGATGGGTGAGAGAGAGAGACCTGTGGAAAAAGAAGGCAAAAGGCAAGAGAGGCAATGAAGACTTGGTAGCTGAGGCTTCTGGAAGTGGTTGCTTTGAAAAGTGTGCATAGGCGATCATTGCGATGATGATGGATTGATGCAGATGCGAATCATGCGATGCGAGTTACAAACCCGATCGAGCTGCGATTTGCGAACTGAAAGTCTGAATTCTGAAACAGAGAGAGAGGAACAGAAGAGTGAAGACGATGATGATGTGATGTTTTCAATTTTCTAGGTTTTGAACTTTTGATTTTTGAGGGAAAAAAACTTTTAATTGTTGCAGTTGTAGTCTTGCAGAGAGAGAGAGAGAGAGAGAAGGAGGGTAACCGGGTAAGCTTGAGAGTTGAGAGTCTGTTGAGATTCTTGAGACCGAGAGTTACGGTAATGGAGATTGGCGGTTTATATATATATATATTTTGTGACCCATCATGCATGAACCTCAAAATTTTGAGGCCCTTAATATTTGAGGCCCTAGACGGCCGCCTTGGGCCAGGGCTGGCCCTGAGAACATCTAGGGTCAATTCTTCCAATCCCTGAATCAATCTATATTGCACCATTGCTACAATATCATCTATATGATCACGAACATTCCTTACAAACAAAGGCAACCCGCGCCCATCTGGTGAAAGGGACATCCCGTATTCTCTGTCTCCTTTGGCTGCGTGTCTTCCCCATTGAAC